CTTTCCTGCCTATGCAGGGGGTCGGACTCAATGATCTATTGAGCTCCCTTCCCACCCTAATATCTTTGAATCTATGAATCTATGAATCAAAAGATACTTTGAAAGAAAACTGCCTTGAGCAAAACAGTATACCAGGCTCGTGGGCCCTTTGAGTACGAGTCAGAAGACTTAGGTCTAAGCTACTGGCTGCAGGTCAGATAAATTACTCACACTTCCATCCAGAAGCTGACTGAGCCTGCTGTAGAAGCAGCATGGCTTCCTTGCTCTGTCCCCAGCCTGCTACTTTCTCATTGAGGGGCTGTTTCATACCACAGTTGTGACCTCATCACTAAGTTCCCACCAGAAGCAGCCCCATTGGCTGCTGACTGGGACTTCCAAATTACATCACCTTCCCAGGTGAGGGGACTAGTCATATGACCTATAATTTAGCAGCCAGTGTTTGTACCCAGAGGGGGAGGGTTTTGGCTGCTGCATTACAGCAGAGAGGCAGACTGAGGGGGTGATGTCTCCACAGAGCTTCTAAGGGGGATCCTTACAAATTGAATCCACTTGGGGCTACATGAGCTTTCTGTCACACTCTTCAGTAGTAGAAGGATGGGTCACATGCTATTCTGCCCTGTTTGCTCCAGCTGATGTAGCTGCATAGACAAGGAGCACAGGTTTACTGTGTTCTAGTCGTAGTTCTGGTGATAACTCAGTGTGACCTTGGGCACGTGCTTCTCCCTGAGAGAATGATGCTTCCACTTTCTCAGTCTCTCTGGGAGGAAGAACATGCACCTGATTACTGTTTTCAGGGTATTGTCACCACAGATGGCAGAGACTGATTGTATGATTGTCTCCCAGGCACAAATTTCTGGAATACTGGACCTATACATCCGGTGTCAGAGGAACAAGGATAAGGGGGAACCAAGCCAGGATGGAGATGCACGTCTCTGGCCCCTCATCAAAAAAGTAGAAGTGACAATCCCAAGACCTGATGTGATACCAGAAGGTGTCGTGTTTGTGGATATTCCAGGGACTGGAGATTTCAATGATAAAAGGGACCAGATGTGGAAAGAGGTGACTTGTCAGCTGGGCTGTGTGGAGAAACCACCGAGCAGATGTTTGGCTGGGGAATGTTTATTATTCATATTTTGTTAAAGATTTCTTATTCATATTCAAATCCCAGTGGGAGAACTAGAGGGAAGATACAGAGGGCAGCACCACATTGTAGCTTAGGGAAGCTAGCACAATGGCTGGGAGCTGTGTCCATAACGGATGCCGAGGGTGTTCCCTAGACATCCACTCCTGTGCTGCTCCATCTGGGTGCATTGCTGCTCCTGTGCTCCCAGACAGGTGCAAAGGCCCATGGTGCCCTTCTCTGCCTCCAGAGAGACTGAGGCCTGGCCTCTCAAGTGCAGACCCTGCAGTGATCACATGTGCCTCCATTCCCTCCGGGTGCTAGGCTGCTGCAGTGCACTTCCCTGAAGCTCTCCCACACATCTGGTCCAGACCTCCAGCCCAGCCTTGGAGGGCTTACATGCCTAAAAGTTCTGCTCCATTTACTGGACCTGGACATGTCTGGCTCACTGCTTTAAAGACAGGGAGCTCTTCACTTCTGCTGATGTGGTTGGGATGGAAGAGGCTCAGCATTTCTCACAGGGTTCGGTCTTGTCTCTTTCTTTGTTTCTCCATGTAATTCACTTACTCCTTCTTTAAAGAGCATCAACGCATGTTCCGTCATTTGGATTATCAGTGGTATGGTCCGAGTCCAGGGGGAGAAAGTCCAGGAGACGCTACTGGCAGAGAGCATCAAGGCTTACCAAGCTGGAAAGTGCAGTGACATTACCCTGGTGGTCACAAAGTCCGATGATGTGAAATTTGAGGAGTACAAAAGGTAACAGAATGACCCACCCTGTCTGGGTTGGGGTGCAGAGGGAAAAAAATCCTTTCCTTTAAGATTTATAATCTCCCTGCTTGCTTTTTGCCTGCCACCCCTTTTTGTAGTTCTTGTTCGCTCATTGGATTCAAAAGCATCTGGAGATTGTTCTAGCAAATATTCAGTGACCAGCACATGTAAGAAAAGTCTCCATGTAAGCAGGTTGGAAATGAGGGTGGACATTGGTAGCAGGTATCTTAGCCAGGGAGTGTTGTTTTCCACAGAAAGTTTTGTCTTCAAGTCAACATGGAGAGCAGAGAACGATGCTGCTCACAGCATGTTACTTGCTCAGTACTATTGCCCATAGGCCAGTGAAGGTTGAGGACCACTGCTCTGCAGCTTATGCTGAACGACCCTGCTGTGTTAGACAAGGCGGTAGGAGGTTAAGTCAACCTGCCCATATGGCGCAGACACCACAGAACAGGGCTGAAAAGACTAATGAAGTGTGTCTGCCTTCATAGAGAAATCTTGGTCTGTGCAGCATGGAAATGGCCAAAATGATCACTGGCTATTTGTGTAAGAACAAAAACAAATAAATAAATCCATCTTGTGAATCTCTTTTATTACAACACTCATTTAAAAAAAAAAATCTGTCTTCCATGATAGCATATTTCTAAGGCTAATACATCGGTGCAGTTGGCCTTCAGGTCCTCACGGGTTCATTTGGACATGCACATTCATAGCAAGAGTGGGGCTGCAAGGCTTGTTCCAATATGCAAGCTGGAGGGACAATTGCCATTAATCCTTGGCAGGACAGGGTCTGTGTCACACATTCTTGAGCTATCCTGGAACTATTCCTTAGCAAGCAGTAGGAGCATTTATTTGCTCCATTGCTACAATGAGCAGCTAGCGACAGTCCCAGGTTCAGATCGTGTTCTCCATCGGTCATACATCATGGAGGAAGGTGGGCCTCGGAAGAGAACTGCTCAAAAGAGGACTTGGGACTAGAACATGCAGGGAAAGGATAATCGGAGGATTTGATTGTATATCTGCCACCTTCCCTTCTGCCCCATCTGCATGCCTGAGAGAGAGAGAGAGAGTGAAAAAGGCAATATGAGGAAGAGGCAGCAAAGACAATGTTGAAAGGCAGAATTGAATCAGAAGGACAGATTTCAGAGCCCCTGGGAACTGAGAATGATCCCATGATATAGAATCATAGAAAATGAGAGTTGATGAGACCTCAGGAGGTCACATCTAGTCCAACCCCCTGTTCAAAGCAGGACTAGCCTCAACTATATCATCCCAGCCAAGGCTTTGTCTACCCGGGTCTTCAGCACCTCCAATGATGGAGACTGCACCACCTCTCTAGGTAACCTGTTCCGGTGCTTCACCACCCTCCTACCAAGAAAGTTTTTCCTAATATCCAACCTCAGCTTCCCTTGCTGCAACTTGAGCCCATTGCTCCTTGTGCTGTCATCTGCCCCCACTGAGAACAGCCCAGCTCCATCCTCTTTTGAACCCCCACTTCATGTAGTTGAAGACTGCAACTAAATCCCCTCCTTTCTGAGGCCCAGTTCCCTCAGCCTCTCCTCACAAGTCATGTGCCCGAGTCCCCCAACCATTGTTGTTGCCCTCCGCTGGACTGTAGTGGGGGGCCCCAAAACTGGACACAGGGCTCCAGATGCAGCCTCATCAGTGCCAAATAAAGGGGAAGAATCACGTCCCTGGATCTGCTGGCAAAGCTCCTACCAATGCAGCCCAGGATGCCATTAGCCTTCTTGGCAACACGGGCACACTGCTGGCCCCTGTTCAGCTTCTTGCCCACTGTCACCTGCAGGTGCTTTTCTGCAGAGCTGCTGCCCAGCCCGTCACCCCAGCCTGCACTGGTGCATGGGACTGTTCCCTCCTAAGTGCAGGATTTTGCACTTGTCCTTGTTGAACCTCATGAGATTTATTTTGGGCCAAGGCTTCAATTTGTCAAGGTCACTCTGAATCTATTACTCCCTCCAGCTTGGTGTCATTTGCAAACTTGCTGAGGGTGCACTCTGCCAACTTCCTGGTCATTGGTAAGACATTCAACAAAACTGGCCCCGGGACTGACCCCTGGGGTACTCCACTTGATACCAGCTGCCAAGTAGACATCGAGCCTTTGATTACTACCCTCTGAGCCCAATGGTCAAGCCAGTTTTTGATCCACCTTTCTGTCCATTCATCCAGCCCGGACTTCCTTAGCTTGCCTGGGAGGATGTTGTGGGAGACCATATCAAAAGCCTTGCTGAAATCAAGGTATACCACATCCACCAGTGTCTCTGCATCCACAGGCCCCGTCACCTCATCATAGAAGGCAGTCAGGTGGGACTGGTGACTTGCCCCTGGTGAATCCATGCTGACTGTTCCTAATCACCTTCTTCTCCTCCAAGTACTTAGATATGGTTTCCTTGAGGATCTGCTCTATGATTTTTCCAGGGACTGAGGTGAGGTTGACTGGTCTGGAGTTCCCTGGATCCTCTTTCTTCCCTTTCTTAAATGTGTGCACTATGTTTGCCCTTCTCCAGTCATCCAGGACCTCTCCTGATTGCCATGAGTTTTCAAAGATAATGGCCAATGGCTCAGCAATCACATCAGCCAACTCCCTCAGCACCCTCGGGTGCATCTCATCTGGCCCCATGAACTTGTACACATCCAGCTTTTCTAAGTTGCCCCTAACCTGGTCTTTTACCACTGAGGGCTGCTGACATTCTCCCCAATCTCTGCTGCCCAGTGCACTGGTTTTTGAGCTGACCTTGCTTGTGAAGACTGAGGTGAAAAAGGCACTGAGCACTTCAGCCTTTTCCTCATCCTCTGTCACAAGGTTGCCTCCCCCATTCAGGAAGGGACCCACACTTTCCCAGATCCTCCTCTTGCTACCAACGTACTTGTAGAAACCCTTCTTGTTACCTTTCACATCCCTTTCTAGCTGCAACTCCAATTGCACATTGGCCTTCCTGATTTCATCCCTGCATGACTAAGCAATGCTCTTATATGGCTCTCTAGTTATTTGTCCAAGTTTCCACTTCTTATAAGCTTCATTTTTAAATTTAATTTACTGAAGAGTTCCCTGCTAAGCCAAGCTGGTCTTCTGCCATACTTACTAGTTTTCCTGCACATCAGGATGGTTTGTTCCTGCACTCTCAGTAAGGCACCTTTCAAGTACAGGCAGTCCTTGACTTACAATGTTTTGAGTGACAACTGCACCCCTCTGATTTGGTTTAGGTCGTTTCTGGCGGCTTTAGAGCACATGCTCAGTTCAGACCATGGGGCGTGTCCCTGGGACTGGGGTGCTGGGCTGTGTTCACCCCCGAGGGAGGCCCTGACACTCACTTGCCGTGACTTGGTCTTCCTTTCAGTAGTGGGACTCTCCCTCGTGGGATCCAGAGGAGCGGGGACCGGGTGCTGCCCTTTGCAGACATTCTTGGGGCTCCACCTCCCCTACACCCCAGCTGTACGCCGGCCCTCAAGATGACAAGGTGATGGATCGTCGGCCCATCTCTTCGATGTTCACTCCTGTTCTTGTCCCCTCTTGTCCATCCCTCGGTGTCTCTCTTTGTCCCAGGTGGGGACTGGTTCTTTCTCAACATCTGCTCTTGATCTTAACTTCAGAACATCACATTCCATGGAGCGAACAACTTTGCTGTGTCGCTCATCTCCCTGGGGAACATCTGTCCAAACTTCCTTGGACACTTTCGTTAAGAAACCATACGAGACTCCAGAAAAACCTGCAGCTAGGACTCCTGAGAAGACTCCAGCCAAGAGCCCTTCAAAAAGTCCAGCCAAGAGCCTTTCAAAAAGTCCAGCAAAGTCATCTCAGAGAAGTCCTTCCAAATCATTATTATTGCTATTTACAATATAAATACATTAATATAGCTATATTACTCCTCTATAATTGATCAAGTACAAAATTCTGGGGTATTTTTGGTGAAAATAGGGTATCAGGCCCTGGTTCAGGAACCTATCCCCCATTTATAATGTTGTTTCTTATGAGAAAATTGGTTCTGAGTTACAACGTTTCAACTTAAGATGTGTTTTCAGGAACCAGTTGTGTCATAAGTCTGAGGACTGCCTGTACAGCCAGCTCTCCTGGACTCATCTCCCCCTCAGACTAGGCTCCCAGGGGATCCTGCCCATCAGTTCCCTGAGTGAGTTGAAGTCTGCTTTCCTGAAGTCCAGGGTCCTTACCCTGCTGCTCTCCATCCTTCCTTTCCTCAGGATCCTGAACTCAATCATCTCGTGGTTGCTGCTGCCCAAGTTGCCATCCACTACTACATTCTCCACCAATTCATCCCTGTTTGTGAGCAGCAGGTCAAGAAAAGCACGGCCCCTAGTTGGCTGCTCCAGCACTTGCACCGGGAAATTGTCCCCAACACTCTCCAAAAACATCCAGGATTGCCTGCACACTGCTGTATTGCCCTCCCAGCAGATGCCAGGGGGTTGAAGTCCCACATGAGAACCAGGGCCTGTGTTCAGGAAACTCCCACTACCTGTTTGAAGAAAGCCTCATCCACCACTTCCTCCTGGTCTAATGGTCTATAGCAGACCCCCACCATGACATCACCCTTGTTGCTCTCCCCTCGGATCCGAACCCAGAGACTGTCAACAGGCCTATCTCCAGCTTCATACTGGAGCTTTGAGAAATCATATGGCTCTTTTACATAAAGTGTAACTCCTCCTCCTCTTCTCCCCTGCCTGTCCTTCCTGAACAGATTGTACCCATCCATGGCTGTGTTCCAGTCATGCGAGCTCCCACCAAGTCTCTGCTATTCCAATCACACCATAGCTCCAGGACTGTGTGAGGACTTCCAGTTCCTCCTGCTTCTTTCCCAGGCTCCTTGCATTGATGTACAGGCACCTGAGGTAACTAATTGATTTCCCTGATTTGTCAGGAAGTACGAAAACACCTCCCCTCTTGCCCACTCCTGCTTACTCTTCCTCCAGGTCTCCTGCTTCCCCACTTACCTCAGGGCTTTGGTCTCCATCCCCAG